GGACTCGGATGCAAAGGAGGACTCGATCCACGAGGCTATAGAGCACAATCGCGCCATGGCACATCGCAATTCAGCACGGCGCAGCACAGCACTGATTTCGGCACGGTACATCAAGGTCGATACACTCAGCATTGCAACTTGGCACGTTCCTTGGCACGTTCCGTGGGGCGTCCTTTGGCGAGTCCCCCTGGCACGTCGCGTGGCGCGTCCCCTGGCACATCCCGTGGCACATCCATTGGCACGTTCCGTAGCGCGTCCCCTTGGCACGTCCCGCGGTGCGACCCCATGGCACGTCCCCTGGCACGTCGCCTGGCGCATCCCTTGGGACGTTTCGCGGCGCGTCCTCCTGGCATGTTCCCCTGTCCATTAGCTCTGGGGCAGCTACTATGTGTTCAGGCAGCTCGAGCTTAAGATCCAGATCAGTTCGGTCAGGACTCGGATGCAAAGGAGGACTCGATCCACGAGGCTATAGAGCACAGTCGCGCCATGGCACATCGCAATTCAGCACGGCGCAGCACAGCACAGCCCTCGGCAGGGTACATCAAGATCGATACACTCAGCATTGCATTTGCCCGTCACCCAATCAAGTGTCTTTGAAAACGCTGCCATGTGTTACAGTTCTATATTCCTTTCCGGGTTCGTGGGTCGATCATGTTTTGTTAGCGGCTCCAAGGCGAAGGACAAGGAGCGGGCACAACGTCCGGGGCGCGGTACGATGTAAATTGGCCGCAGTGGCGTATGCACATGCCAGGGACAAAATGCCCCTCATTGAGACGCAGACAGCGTCGGCAGGTGACCAGCCCAGACATCCTGGCAGGTGGGGAAGCAAGGGCGCGGCGACCGGCAGCGGAACTGGGGGGAGAAGTCGCCCTTGCGGCGCCAAGCTCCAGCCGAACCACATTCGGAGGCGAGGCCAGGACGGACGGCGAGGCACTGTAAAACTGCAGGCAGAGCGAGGATCCGAATGGCCAAAGACCAAGCGAAGCCTACCTGCGTGCACACAGGGACGGGCCGTACAGGACCACGGAAGGGGGGAGGGGGAGAGAGCGAAAGCGAGCGACTACCACAGGCTCACTGCAGCACCACGAGCGAAGCATCTAGAATTCAACAGCAGCAACAACAAACATGTTCAGACTGGTTGCTCTTACCTGCTCGCGTGCCATTCAACACGTATATCGCAAACCCTCGACACCAGCCCTCTTAGCATTCGATCGTACCCCCTTGGGGGCATATCTGACTTACCTGCAACGTATATTTCGTGCAGCCCCTAAGGCAGGGAAAGAGAGGACCGATGGAATGAAGAGACAAGGGGCAGGCGGGTCGCTGAAGCGTGCGTCCTGCAGGAATCGCGGGGATATCTCGAGCGATAGCGCGATTCCCAAAAAAAACGCAAGGAGAGTGTGAGTTCTAAGTGTCGAGGGCGCGGCGTCTTAATCAATTGCGAGGAAATCCCACGTGAGAGCGCGATTGCAACGAATGTTTCGTGCAGCCCCTAAGGCAGGGGAAGAGAGGACGGATGGAACGAATGGACAAGGGACAGGCGGGTGGCTGCAGCGTGCGTCCTGCAGGAATCGCGGGGATATCTCGAGCGATAGCGCAAATCCCCCAAAAAATCGCCACGATATCCACAGCGAGAGCGTGATTCCTAAGTGTCGAGGGCGCGGCGTCTGAATCAATTGCAAGGAAGTCCCACGCGAGAGCGCGATTGCAACGTATATTTCGTGCAGCCCCTAAGGCAGGGGAAGAGAGGACGGATGGAATGAAGGGACAAGGGGCAGGCGGGTGGCTGAAGCGTGCGTCCTGCAGGAATCGCGGGGATATCTAGAGAGATAGCGCGATTCCCAAAAAAATCACATGGATATCCACAGCGAGAGCGTGATTCCAAAGTGTCGAGGGCGCGGCGTCTTAATCAATTGCGAGGAAGTCCCACGCGAGAGGGCGATTCCTGTGCTGCTGTAAACTGGAGCTCAACAACACAGTTTGGTGTCACGTCACTCCCCTGTAGAAACCAGGGTGCGAGCCTCGAGGGAAGCCATTCAATTGAAACATATACTGGTTATTGGATGGTGGATGAGCAATAGCTACTCTGTAGGAATAAGAAATCAGCAACAACACCACCACCAACAACAACCAAGCAACCAACCAACTAACAACCAACAACCCACAACCAACAACCAACAACAACAACCGCAACAACAACAGCAACACCAAAAGCAACAACAACAGCAGCAAAAAACATCAACAAGAACAACAACGACGACGACAATCACAACAATCGTGTTGATAGTAATTGCTCTTATCTGCTCGCGTGCAAGTCAACACGTATATTCCAAACCCTCGACACCTGCCCTCTTCGTCTTCGATCATACCCCTGCTGGGGGAATGTCGTCCCTACCTGTCTCGTGTGGTTGGCGCAGCCCCGAAAACAGAGGAAGGAGGGAGGAGAGAAGAGACAAGCGGGAGGGAGGAAGATGGAGCACGAGAGAGACTTGCAGGAGGAGGTTAGGAACAGGAGTACAAGTGGCAGAACCATACGGGCGGGTCGGGCGGGCGGGCCCAGACGGCCAGGTCGAGCGGGCAAGTCGCTGAAGCGTCAAGCCAACATGAAGGAAGTTTCGAGCGATAGCGCGATTCCCAGATCGCTAGGAAATGCAAAGCGAGAGCGTGATTCTTGAGTGTCGAGGGCGCGGCGCCACAACAACTTGCGACGAAGAACCACGCGAGAGAGCGTTTCCTGCATAAAGTGTGAGGACGCCCCGCGCGAGAGCGCGATTTAAGAATCAATTGTGAGGTGCCAGGCGGGAGCCGTTGTTGTTGTAACAAGGGGGCCAGGGGGCCAGTTTGAGCACCAAGACTTTCCTTTATCCAAAAAAGGGTGCGCGCCCCGGGATGAGCACTTTAGTTGAAGAACGCACTGTTCACCAGGGAAGATCAAGGCTGTTCGTTCTTATTGGCTCGCGTGCCATTCAGCATGAAAAACCCAAACCCACGATACCCACCCTCTTCGTCTTCGATTGTACCCCCCTTGGGGGTGTATCGTACTTACCTGCCCCGTGTAGTTGGCGCAACCCCTACAACAGGGGAAAGAAGGGAGGAGGGAAGGGACAAGGGGGAGGGAGAATGATGGAGCGAGACAAAGATTTGCAGGAGGAGGGCTAGGAGCAGGAGTACAAGCGGCATGCCAAGACGGGCGGGTCGTGCGGGCGGACCCTAACGGGCAGGACGGGCGGGCGGGCCCAGACGGCCGCATCGAGCGGGCGGGTCGCCGAAGCGTCAACCCAACATGAATAGCAGGTAATCTTAGAGCGATAGCGCGATTCCTAAGTAAATCGTAAAGAAATCCAAAAAGCGAGAGCGTGATTCCTGATTGTTGGGGGCACGGCGCCGCAACGAGGGAGTACCACGCGAGAGTGCGATGTCTGCATTAAGTGTACGGAGGTCCCGCGCGAATGCGCGATCTTGAAATAAAGTGTGAAGAAGTATCAAGCGGGAACCGTTGCTGTTGTAAGTCGGGGGCCAAGGGCGCAGTCTGAGGCGCAAGGCATAAGGGTGCGAGCCCCCGAAGGAGCACTTGAATTGAAAAACACAATGTGCACCAGCCAGGGGGGATCAACAATAGTTCATGTTAAAATTGATCGTTGTTTTCTGCTCGCGTGCCAGTCAATACAAACATCCCAGTTACTTGATATCCGCCCTCTCCGTCTTCCAAATAATCCCCTTTGGGGTAGATCTTCCTTACCTGCCACATCTAGTTGGCGCAGCCCCTAAAACATAGGAAGAGAGGACGGATGGAAGGAAGGGAGAAGGAGGAAGGAGAAAGATGGAGCACGAGAGCGATTAGCAGGAGGGGGGTGAGGAGCAGAAAACACGTGGCATAACCAGCGGGCAGACCGGGCGGGCAGACCCTATAACGAGCGGGTCGTGAAAAGGGCCCAGGCGGCCGGGTCGAGAAAGCGGGCGGCTGAAGCGTGAGTCCTGAATGCATCGCGCGGAAATCTCGAGCGATAGCGCAATACCCAAGTAAATTGTGAGAAAGGCCAAAGCGAGAGCGTGATTCCTGAGTGTCGAGGGCGCGGCGTCTGAATTCATTGCGAGGGCGTACCACGCGAGAGCGCGAATCCTGCATACATTCTGACGAAGTCCCGCGCGAAGGCGCGACTTTGAATAACTTGTGACGACATGTCCGACGAAACCCGTTGTTGCGGTAGTTCGGGGACCAGCAACACAATCTGAGGCGCAAGACTTTCCCTTGTAAAAAGCACGATGCAAGCAACGGGAGACGCACTCGAGTCGCAAAAACACTGTGGGCACCAGGGGGATCAACAAAAAGTGTTCTGAAATACGAACTCAACAGCGACAGCAGCAGCAACAACATCAATATCAGTATCAGCACCACCATCATCAACGCCATGATCATCAGCATCATCATTATCAGCAGCATCATCATCGTCGTCATCATCTGCATCATCATCATCATCATCATCATCATCATCATCATCATCATCATCATCATCATCATCCTCATCATCATCATCAGCAGCATCAGCATCAGCAGCATCATCATAATCAGCAGCATCATCATCATCAGCATCCGCATCAGCATCATCATCAGCATCATTACCATCATCATAATCATCATCATCATCATCATCATCATCATCATCATCAGCATCGTCATCATCGTCATCAGCATCATTTGTGTACCGTCGTCGTCACCGTCGCCGCCGACGTCGCCAGACTACGTCAAATCTACTCAATACATAGCAGTAGCATCGACATCGTCAAGATCGTCATCATAATTATCATCAACATCAGCATCAGCATCATCAGCATTAGTATCAGCAGCATCAGCATCATCAGCATCATCAGCATCATCAGCATCATCATCATCATCATCAGCAGCAGCAGCATCATGGTCATCGTCGACGTCAGCACCATCGCCAGACCCGTCATCGTCGCCATCAGCGCGCCAATGGAGCGGTGCGCGCTCGCATCGCGGCCTGCCCGTGTGTGTCGCCGACGATCATTAGCTTGCCCGGCTTCGGGGTGTCTACCTGGAGAGCCGGCCAGGGCAAGAGGGAGGAATCGACCTTTGGCGTTGTAAGTTGTCTGGGGGCTTCCTAGAGGATCCCCCTTGTCACGGCTGGATTTAGCCGGCAATTCTGACCAGGACGCGCCCCAGAAGGGGTACAGGTATTGATTTGAGCGAACACGGATGGGAGAACCCATAAAGTGGATGAGGGGAAAGAGGGTGCAACGGAAGAATCAGGAGCAACGCCAGCAGGAGGCTGGCAGAGCGGGAGAACCAGCAGCAGGAGGAGCAGGCCGAGTACACATGGAGGTGATGCGAGGCCGCCTGCTTGAAAGCGGCAGCACAGCCTGGGCAAGAGTGCGATGTTCGTCGCTAACGGACGCGACCAGGAATACTGTTTGAGCGAAGCGAAGAGAACGAGCAGCCACGCTTGCAAAGCAAAAGGTTTTGATTCGGGCTACTTGAGCTACGAACTCCCCTCCCCTCCCTGGAACGCGTGGACTCCACCAGCAGTGCGAAGAGAAGCGGCGATTAAGAGGAGAAGGGCGAGGAAAAGGAGGAGCGGGAGGAGGAAATGGAGGAGGAGAAGGAGGAGGAGGAGGAGGAGGAGGAGGGCCAGCGTCCACGATGAAGAGGACGAGGAGGAGGACCACGGAGAAACATGGAACAACCCCCCTCCTATGAACAGTCAGAGCAAGAGGAGGAAGCTGGCAGAGCGGACGGAGGGCGCAGGCGAAAAAACAGAGTAGCCAAGGCATGCTGCAGGCGGCCCTCAAAAAGGCGTCCTGCACAACGGCCTTGGGGTGCTTGGTCTTGTATGCCTGCCAGCGAGAGGGAACGAACAAGCGAACGCTGGAAGCGTGCGCACTCCGCTGAGGAGCCCGCCCGTGCCTAACACTACATGGCGTGCGGGCCGTAGTCCAAGCAGGGAAGATCATGGGCTCGAGCATGCGAAGCGTATGCCAGTTCGCGTGATGACCAACAGGAGGCGGAGGAAGAGGGGAGAGAAATCATCCAAGCGCCCCACGCGGCAGACGGGTTGCTGATGCACGGCCCCGCCAAGTCTGGCCTGGCCATGTCCACCAGCCCTGCACTTGCGGGGACCTCGCTGGAAACAAAGCCCAAAGCATGTGACTCGTGAGGCCCCACGAGGGTGAAGCCAATTGCCCGTTCTGCGACCTCGTCGTGGTTCGATCCAAAACGCGCCTCCGCAAAAGTTCGCAGCTTCCGCAGAGACAGCTGGTCGACAAATCACGCTGCTGAGCAACAGGCTCAACCAACCACTCGTTAGAGAAGTCCTGAACCGCCCGTCGTGAGATATTTTATCCTGCGGCCCCCTTGGAGGCGCAAGACAATGAATCCGCCGATCCGGCGTGTGAGTTTCAAAGACCCTCAGAACAGCCTGAACCTCAACTCCTGAAATTCAGCTCTACTGGGGGGTGGGTGCGGGGGTGGCTCTGCCAGGGTAGGGGGAGGGGGGGGGTCGATGTAATCCCCGGGGCGGAATCGGAGCTCCAGCTCACTCCGGCGAGGCCCCCTTGCCCAGGATGGCCCCAACATGGGCCAAGAGAACCCCGAGTTGCCGAACGATCGCTACAAGACGCCCAAGATGTCCCCAAGACGGCTCCAGAAGCCTCCATGATGCCCTCAAAGGCCCTGAAAAGGCCTCCCAAAGAAAGCCCACAGAAGCAATAAGTGTCCCATTCCCTCTGGAAAAACGAACAACTTTAGCATGTTCGCCTCTTGGGCCTTCAGAGCGTCGCAGACGCCCCAAAAGAGCCCCAAAACGGCCCAAGAAGCCACCAAGAAAACTCCAAGACGGCCCAAGAAGGGCCCAAGATGGCCCAGGAGGCCCCCGGAAAGACCCAAGAGGGCCCCAGGACGGGCCCAGTGCGTGTGCATGTGCGCGTGCGTGTGCGTGTGCGCGTGCGGGTGCGTCTGCGCGTGCGCGTGCGTGTGCGCGTGCGCGTGCATGTGCGTGTGCGTGTGCGTGTGCGTGTGCGTTTGCGTGTGCGTGATCATGCGCGCGCGCGTGTGCATGTGCGCGCGCGTGAACGTGCGCGTGCGCGCGTACGCGTGCAAGCGAGTGCGCGTGCGCGTGCGTGTGCGAGTGTGCGTGCGCGTGCGCGTGTGCGTGTGCGCGCGCGTGTGCGCGTGCGTGTGTGCGTGCGTGCGCTTGTGCGTGTGCGCGTGTGTGTGTGTGTTTGCGCATGTGTGCGTCTGTCTTTGTGTGTGTGCGTGCGTGTGCGCTTGTGTGTGCGTGTGTACGGGTTGGCGCGTGCGCGTGTTTGCGCGCGTGCGTGTGCATGTGGTTGCGTGAGTACGTGTGTGCGCGTGTGCGTGCGTTTGCGTGTGTGTGTGCGTGCGTGCGCATGCGCGCGCGCGCGCGTGCGCGTGCGCGCGTGCGTGGATGTGCGCGCGCGTGTGCGCGTGATTGTGCGTGGGTACGCGCGTGCGCGTGCATGCGTGTGCGCGTGCATGCGCGTGTGCGTGCGTGCGTGCGTGCGCGTGTGCGCGCGCGTGTTTACGTGTGTGCGTCTATGCGTGCTTGCGCGCGCGTGCGTGGCGTGCGCGTGGTGGGTGGCGCGGACGGCGCGGGCGGCGTGCGCGTGCTATGCGCGCGCTGTGCGTATGTGTACGAGTATACATGTGTGAATGTGTGTATGCGTGTGCGTGCGTGCGCGTGCGCGCGTGTACGTGGGCACGTGTGCGCGCGGTGTGCGCGCGCGCGATTGTGCGCGCGTGCACGTTTGCCTGTGTGTACGTGTGCATGTGTCTGCGCGCGCGTGCGTGTGCGCGCGTGCTCGCTTGCGTGTGTGCGTGTGTGCGGTGTGCGTGCGTGCGTCTGTAAGCGCGCGTGTGCGTGTGTGCGCGCGACGGTGCGTGCGTCTGCACGCGTGCGCGTGTGTACGCCTGTGCGTGTGTGCGCGCGTGCGAGTGAGTGCGCGTGTGCGCGTGTGCGTGTGTGCGTGCGTGCGTGTGTTTGCGTGTGCGCGTGTGCGTGCGTACGTTTGTGCGTGCGCGCGCGTGAACGTGTGTGCGCGCACGCGCGTGCGCGCGCGTGTATGTGCGCGCGTGCGCTTTTGCGTGTGTGCGCGCGCGCGTGCGTGCGCGTGCGCGTGCATGTGCGCGTGCGTATGTGCGCGTGCGCGCGTGCGTGCGTGCGCGTGTGAAAGTGTGCGTGCGTGCCTGTGTGCGCGTGTGCGCGTGCGCGCGCGTGCGCGTGTATGCGCGTGCGTGTGTGCGTGTGTGCATGTGTGCGTGCGCACGTGTGCGCATTTGCGTGCGCGTGTGCGTGCGTGCGTGCGTGCGCGTGTTCGTGTGTGCGCGTCTGTGTGCGTGTGTGCGTGTGTGCGCGTGTGCGTGTGGGCGCGTGTGCGCGTGTGCGTGTGTGCGCGTGTGCGCGCGTGCGCGAGTGGGCGCGTGCGCGCGTGCGAGCGCGCGCCTGTGCGCGCGCGTGCGCGTGTGTGCGCGCGTGCGCGCGTGCGTGCGTGCATGTGTACGCGCGTGCGCGTGGGCGTCTGTTCGTCGCGCGCGCGCGTGCGCGCGTACGCGTGCGCGCGTGTGCGCGTGTCTGCATGTGTGCGTGAGTGCGCGCGTGCGTGTGCGCGTGCGTGCGTGCGTACGTGAGTGCGGTTTTTTGTGAGTGAACGCGCACAGCCAAGCTGTACACGCAGCAGCTCCGAGGCCACCACACACCCGAGTCCCGTCCCCGATGGGCCGCCCTCGAGCACCACGACGATGTCGCAGGCGAAGGCGGCGATGGCGAAGGCGGCGAACGGGCGCAGCGCCCCCGCGGCGCCGCGCCGCCAGCTTCCCTAGGAGCGCTCGCCTCACGCCGACTTGGCCGAAGCCTCACGCCGACTCGGCGGTGACCCAGCGGGCCGCAACGCCTCCAGCATGCGCTGCACCTCCGCTGAGTGCCACGGCGTCGCTCCGACCGACTGCTCAACCATGCTCACCGCGAACGCCTGGACGTCGTCAAGAGTCGCCGCCGAGCCGCCTGCTCCGCCAGCAGCTGGCGCCGAAAGCGCCGCCACCAGCTCCGCCGCCGCCGACGCCGATGCAGCCGCGGGGCTACCACCCACGCACGGCTGCCGCCGCCCCCGCCTTCTCCGCCGCCGGCGGGCGGCGAGGCCGTCCGCCTACTCGTCGTTCAGGTCGGACCCGAGGTCCGACACCGCGATGCATGGCACCGCAGGCGCCACTCCAGCCGTCAGCACGAGCCCCAAACCCGCGCACACGGCCTCCGCAGCACCCACTGCGCCAGCTGCCGCGGCGGCAAGGGAGCCCCCCGCCGCCAGCTCGCCCGCGGCGGCCTCCGCCGAGCCGCCGTCGTTGCCGCCGCCGGCCGTGCCGCCCGCCGCCGCAGCAGCAGGGGCCCCAGCAGCGCGACGACGCTCGGACTGACGTCGGCGCCTGCGCCGACGCGCCTCCCGCGCCGCGGCGGAAGGCGACGCGCCAGGCGCACCATCGGGAAAAGGCACCACGGCAGGCGTCGCGGCTGGTGCCACGGGCGCCTCGGCCAGCCTGAAGAGGCTAGCCTATACCGCCGCGCGCGCCACCGCCGAAACCGTCCTGCGGGGTGCCTTCGCCAGCGCCGCCCCGAGGACCGCCGCCTCGACCAGCGAAGCAGCGGCAGCAAACGGCGCGCAAGCCCCTCTAGCCCCACGCATGGCCATCAGGACGGCCGAGGCGGAGGGCATGCGAACGCTTGAGCCAAAATGGCTACGGAGTATGCGTGTGTGCGTGTGTGCGTGTGTGCGTCTGTGCGTCTGTGCGTGTGCGTGTGCGTATGTGCGGGTTTGCGCGTGTGCGTCTGAGTGTGTGCGTGTGTGCGTCTGTGCGTGTGTGCGTCTGTGAGTGCGTGCGCGTGGGCGTGGATGCGCGCGTACGTGTATGCGTGCGTGCACGTGTGCGTGTGTGCGTGTGTGCGTGTGTTTGCGTGTGCGAGTGAGTGCGTGGGCGTGGATGCGTGTGTGCGTGTGTGCGTGTGTGCGTGTGTGCGCGTGTGCGCGTGTGCGCGTGTATGCCTGTGCGTGTGAACGTGTGTGCGTGCGTGGGTGTGCTCGTGTGTGCGTGTGTGCGTGTAAGCGTGTGTGCGTGTGTTTGCGTGTGCGTGTGTGCGTGTGTGCGCGAGTGCGCGTGTGCGGGTTTGCGCGTGTGCGTATGTGCGTGTGTGCGCGTGTGCGTGTTGGCGCGTGGGCACGTGTGTGCGTGTGCGCGTGTGCGCGTGTGCGCGTGTGCGCATGTGCGCGTGTGCGCGTGTGAGTGTGCGTGTGCGTGTGCGTGTGCGCGTGCGTGTGCGGGTGCGTGTGCGTATGCGCGTGTGCGTGTACATGTGCGTGTGCGTCTGCGCGTGCGTCTGCGTGTGCGTGTGCGCGTGCATGTGCGTATGCATGCGCTTGCGCGTACTCATGTCCGTGTGCGTGTGCGTGTGCGTCTGCGTGTGCTTGTGCGTGTGCGTGTGCGTCTGTGTGTGTGCGTGTGCATGTTCATGTGCGTATGTGTGTGCGTATGCGTGTGCGTGTGGGTGTGCGTTTGCGTGTGCGTGCGCGTGTGTGCGGCGTTTGCGTGCGCGTGTGCGTGTACATTTGCGTGTGCGTCTGCGTGTGCGTATGCGTGTGCGTGTGCGGGTGCGGGTGCGGGTGTGCTGTGCATGTGTGCGTGTTGTGTGATGCGTGTACGAGCGAGAATGGGGCGAATGTGTGTGGCGTGGGCGTGAAGGAGAGGGGGAAGGGGTAGGTGGGAACGCGTATGCGACGCGTGTGGGGAGAAAAGCACAACCATACGTAGCATGTGTGGAAAAACCTGGGGGTCTCCTCAAAGTATGTGCTATCATCTGGCCCGGTCTTCCCATTGGGACGCCACCGCGCGGCAAGGAGGGCCCAGGAGGTCTCGAAGACGGCACCAGGGAGCTTCGAGGGGGGGCCTCAACAGCCCAAGACGGCCAAAGATGGCCCCGAAATGCCTCCAAGATGGCACAGAAGGTCCGAAGACGCGTCCGATATGCTTTGCCTGTCGCACGTTTGGTTTCCAAGACTTTTTCAAAAATCGCTTCAAGACGGGCAGCCCCCGCCAAGACGGCCACAAGGTGCCCCCTGAAGGCCACAGGATGCCACCCGAATCGCATGGGAAAGCCCAACAAACCCCATTCCCTCAAGATGGGCCCCAGAGGAATCAAGATAGCTCCCAGATTGCCCAAGATGGCACGAAGATGGCCCCAGAGGCGCCAAGAAGCCCCAAGAGACCCCATGATGGCCCCTAAACTGGTCCCTCATAGCCACACAATAGCTCCGCCTAGGGGGCCGGCGGCAGAAGGCGCAGCCCTTTAGAAGATTCTGCCATGGTCGGTCCTGAACCGATCGGCCGTCCAAGAGGCAACCAAGGCCAAGATGAGAGAGAGAGGGACGAACAAGGATTCAAGCAGATGGCACAACGCATGGCGCAGGCACAGGTGCCAACGGCCCACACCAGCTCAACACAGAGACAATAGCAACTATATGGTGTTGGCGATGGTTCCTATGATCATCAAGCAGAACATGAAGCGGCGGCACTGCAACTGCTAAGGTGCATGAAGCGGCGGCACTGCAACTGCTAAGGTGCTGAAATCATCAGCTGCCGCAGTGAACTCCGTGGTGAGGTAGGCCACGTACCTGGACGCTTCGACATGTCTCCAACTGTTCTGAGGTTGCTTCAGACGTCAAAGAGAGCGCGTTTCACGGGCGCTTGCCTTGGAACATTCGGCGGCGCGTTTCGATCCGGGGGGGTGGGCCCCCCCTCCCCAACACTCGGCGCCGTCGATCAGAACCAGGGGCACTCCCCTCCCCCCTAACCCCCCCCCTCCTGGGCCCCCCCCCACTCGGCGCCGGCGCCAGCGCCGGCGCTGACGGCCGCCAGCAGCGCCGACGGCAGGCCGCAGCGACGATGACCAGAGGCAGCCCAAGGGGGGGCGGGGGCTCCAAATCCACCCCCCCCGCACCGGCGCTGGCGCTGCGCTGGCGGCGGCCAGCAGCACCACCACCACCACAGCCACCACCACCACCACAACCACCACCACCACCACAACTCACCATCACCACAACTACCACAAAAACCCACCACCACTACCCCCACCACCACAATCTACCACACCACCACATCACCACAACTACCACAAAAACCCACCACCACTACCCCCACCACCACAATCTACCACACCACCACCGCCACAACCACCACCACTACCAGCAGCACAACCCACAACCACCACCACCACAAACCACCACACCACCACCACCACCGCCACAACCACCACCACCACCACCAGCACCACCTCCACAAACCACCGCCACCACCAACCCACCACCACCACCACCACCACCACACCACCACCACCACCACCGCCACCACCACCACCAAGGGGAGGGGAGGGGAGGGGGTGGGGGGGGCGAAATCCCCCCAACTCCGTCACGGGAGTGGGGGGTGGGGGGGGGGGTCTGGTCCGGTTCCAACCCCCCCCCCTCCAAGCGACCACAGAAGGCGCTCTTTCAGACGTCACGAGAAAAGGTTGTCGCAAAAGCAAGCCGCCACCGATCCTGTATGTTAGTTGGATGGTTGCACCGCGGCAGTCGCCCCCTGCATGGGAAAAACATCGCCAACGCCGGCCATTCTTGAAGAGTGGCCTGCGGACTTGCGCTTCATTGCTCGCTCGAAGGCAAGCATCTAGCCCGGCGCCGCCAATCCAGCAGACCCCTTGGAGACGGTGCCCTTGATTAGCCAGGCGGTGCACGCAGCTGCGTGTCACGCGCAGGGCGCGGCCCTCTGCTACGCGCCGCGGGAGGGCAGTGCAGGTAGGGGGAATAAAGCAGGCGCACAAAGGTGCGCTAATCTCCCTGTTAATGCACGATCCGCGTGAGAGGGTGTCCCAAAATGAGCTCGGGGGCGCCACGCGGGCGCCCGAACTGGCGCCGTGGGTGGAGCTCCCTGTGGGGGGCACGATCCTCGAGCCACTCCCTCCGCCCCCCGACCCCCTTCCCCTTCGCAGGTTTGGAATATGAAGGAAGCAGGTCCTGAAGGAAGACGGGTCCTGGACCCTGGGGACCAGCTCTTCACCCTGAGTCGTTTTCCTGACGGTCCCGGTGCCCATCGAGGGCCCCCGGGAGGCCGGAAACGGCGACAGAACCTGAGGACCCGGTTCCTCAGGACCCCCGCGTCCCTCATGGCGAGAAGACGCCCGACAACCCGCGCCAGCCAACGAGCGGGGCTCGCGACGCTGGCGCGTAGTCGGCACCCCACGGCATAGGATGCGGTGGCGCTCCCCTTGCGTCAGGCTCCACCTCTTCAGTGGTGAAGAGGTGGACACGATGCGATTCGACCACCGTTGCGGACAGTGTCTGGGCCTAGCGCAGACCAGGTGAGGCCGTGGCCTCGAGAATCTGGCTTGTCTGGATACATGCAATGCGAGACACATTGAAAAGTTTGGAGGAGAGAAAGAAGAGGAGAAGAGGAAGTCCTTGGTGTGGGTGTCGGCGCGGGCTGGGCGTGTCGTCTCGACTTTCTCGGCGCTTTCACTTTATGGGTCTTGGTCCTGGGTGTTCGCTGGTGTCAGGTCGGTGTAGTGATGCGCGAGCGCCGCCCATATTTTGGTATCTTCGGCTGTTTGCGTCATGTGATTTCGATTGGTTGTCCTCTAGATTCGGTCTGTGTGGATGGTCGGTGGAAGTCTGGTCTGTGTTGGCCTAAGTAGGCGTTGACTTCGTCGTCCCAACGCTTGCGTTGGCCACCGTGCTGCCTCTGTCCTTTCTGGTGCACGCTGGGGCCTGCCACCCATTTGGCGCCTCATGGGAGCACTCGGGGGGCCCACGAGGCCGCGCCCAGGAATTCTGGCATCTCTGACCCGACCCTGCCGGGAACCTGCCAGGACTTGCCAGGACCTTGCAGGGGTACTTGTCGTCCAGGGACCCGCCCGGAGCCGCCACGCGCGCGCGAACTAAGAACATCATTAAACTCGCTCTGGAGATTTTCACAAGCCTCTGGCCCGTTGGGCCAGCGAATTTTCGGCACGGTTTACCTCTCGTGTTTTTCCCTCCTCGCGCGCAGTCCGGCGAAAGGCTAACGGTGAGGGCATTGCAGAAGGAACCTTGGACACCCTTGGACAAGGAGTCTAGGGGCTGGAGGCCAGAGGATCTCCAATCTTGGGTTGGCCGTGGACAGTGGATGTCACCGCCGCCCTCATCAGATTGAATCATCCGGGGTATGCAGCCTCCTGGGCACAGTCCTTGACGAACGACCACACCGTACGTTCGGTCGTTCGCTCGACAATGCCCCCTTCGTGAGGGGCGCGCCTCGGGCAACTGGGGCGCACCTCTCGGTCGTGCCTTCTCTCCCTGGCAGGGGGTGCATGGCTGCCCCCCCGATGCCCGACCCTGCGGGGTTTTCCGCCTGGCCCCCCCAAAAAAACTCATGGCCCGACTCGGGGATACATGACGGGGGGGCGTGCATCCTCGATGGGGGTGCGCCTGGACAGGCCCCCCTGGGGTGCATCCCTGAGCTCCCCCTCTCGGGCAGCAAAGGAAGGCCTCCTCCTCCTCCTTCTCCTCCTCCTCATCATCATCATCATCAGCATCAGCATCAGCATCAGCATCAGCATCAGCAGCAGCAGCAGCAGCATCATCATCATCATCATCATCATCATCATCATCATCAGCATCATCATCATCAGCATCAGCATCATCATCATCATCATCATCATCCATCATCATCATCATCATCATCATCATCACCATCATCACCATCATCACCATCATCATCATCATCATCATCATCATCATCATCATCATCATCATCATCATCATCATCATCATCATCATCATCATCATCATCATCATCATCATCGGCCAGGCACACGCCAGCATGGATCACGGCAGGCTCGTGCCGTAACGACATGTGCGCTGGCTTCTGGCGCCGCGTGAGTCGATCGAATCTGAACGACAACGGCCATCCGAAGGCGAAGATGGTTCAGTGTTGGACGAATGGCCGCTGGCAGCAGTCAACCTTTAACGCTCGCGGTGCGGCCGTCGCCGAGTCGACACGACACGAACCTGCCGCACAGATCCGTGGATCTGGCACGCGGGCGCGGGGGGGGGAAGCAGCCCCCCCGAAACACGGGGCAAATGCCGCCTGACTGCCCTGACATCCGCCGACTTGATTGTTTCAATCCGCGGCCCTACGAGGTCCCGACCCCTTCCCCAGGGCGAGTTTCTCGCCCCGGAACAGTTCTTGCTTGTCCCAGGGCCCGAGAACGGCCCACAGCAGCCGAAATCGGGCAAAAAACGCCCGATCTGGAAAAAACAGATCGTAGGAGATCTGGGTTAGCGACGGTGCGCGCCGACTCTCTGTTGCACGGAAGCGAGGCCCGGCGCCGATGCGCGACGCCTTTGGGACCATGCCTGCGTCGCCTCGGATGGGCGAGCGAAGCCCGAGGCCGACCCCCCCCTCGCCCCCCCGAGGAGGGTACTTCGGGTGCAGCGGGTTCTTGTCCTGGCGGGGCGGCTGGGCGCGCGGGCGGGCGGCACTTCCGCCGCCCCCCTGCTCCTCCCACTTCTCCTCCCCTTCCCCTTCTGCGCACATGCCGCCCGCCATCCTTCCCCCACTTTTGTTCAGCGTCAGCGCCTCCTTCCAGCTCCGCACGTCATTCCCCCGCTCGTTCAGTCACGCCCCACGCCAGCCTCCCTCTCCCCTCCAGCCTCACTCCTCCACACCTCCCGCAGGCAGGCCCCGCCCCGGACTCCCCGTTCATCAGGTAGTGGTGCATCAGAGCCTGGGCGCCAGCTCCCTGCTTCGCCCATTCGCCACTCCACACTGCCTTTGGCCCTTCCTGTTGCCAGCTGCTGTGGTAGTTTATCAAAAAACCCAGCGTCGCACACCCAAGAAATTCACGCGATTCTCCGAAAGTGAATGTTTACATCATTTGTTTGTCCTGGATTTCTGCTGCTGGCTGCTGCTTGCTCTCCTGCTCTGGCGGTGCCTGCTCTCGGCACCTCCCGCTCACCAGACCTGGGCTCCACGAGCCTGCCTTCACGGGGAACACAGCAGGGAGCGCAAGGTCAAAATCGTACGCGAGCGCCGAGCTTCTGTTTACGTGGCAAGACATCTGCTCCCGAAAAACGGCGCAGACACGTGGCACAGGGGAACTTCTAAGGCAGCACCCGCTCGCGACAAATATCACAGCGGCTCTGGGGTCTCCAAAGCTCGACCAGCTCGAAGCCACATCGGACAGCGTTGCAGGACAGGGCCGTGTCCAGCGGAAGCTTGCAAAGTGGGATGCATGGCTCCATCTTGGCCCTTGCGCTCCTCGGCAGAAGACGGGACAATGCCGTTCGCCCCCGGCCGACATCCCCTCGAAATCCAAACCCCGATGGCACCGTGCACCCCATCACGACCATGTAATGCCTCGAAAGGAAGTTCAACCAAGGTTGAAGAGGGGGCCCCATCCAGCCCGCCTCCTTTCCGAAAAAACAGCACCGCTGCTGCCTCATGCAAACGGCACCCGCCAGCAAACTGAGCCAACGTTTCGTTGACAACTAAAGTGAGCATCACAGGTTGGGGGGTTGAGATCGCAATGGAACGGAGAGCCCCCCACCGGGAAATCGGTTTCGGTTTCGTGTGCGTGTCGTGCATGCGGGCGAGGCGAAGCTGCGTGGGCGCGCGAAAGGAATGACCCCGCCTTAGCTAGAGCGATTCGGATGCAGTAGACCGCCCCTCCGCCCCCAATGGCGCGCGGTGGCCGGGGGTATCCTGCCGGGGTATCCTGTGGTGTCCCGTTGGTGTCCAGTTGGCGTCCCGGTGTTCCGTCGGCGGTGAGGGGGCGGTGGCCATGGGTGTCCAGCCTTGGAATCGATAGTGAAGTCGATAGTGAGATCAATCATGGGATCGCTAGAATGGGATGGCTACTGAGATCCAAAGTGAGATCGACACTGAGGTTGATTGTGGCACTGGTTGTGAGATCGTTAGTGAGATCGATAGTGAGATCGATGGGGGAATCGATAGTGAGATCGATCGAGTGTGATCGATCCTGTGGGGTCGATAGTGGGATCGATCGAGTGAGATTCAAAGCGAGGACGATAGTGATATTACATCTCAGCGCAACATCGCCATCACGCGTCGTCCCTAACTCGAGGGCGCGTCACCAGCATCGTCATCATCACACTCATGGCACGTACCAGCAAGCGATTCTTTCCCCCTCACCCCCCCAACCTCCTTATCACCTGAATGGTGGTCGTATAGGTCGTAAGCCAGACACTAAGCCTTACGCATGGCGCTGCTAACATGATGCTAGCGCGTGGGCCCCGACCAATCAAACCCCCAGCAGAAACACAAAAAACTGGGTACTAGCACAGCCTGGGGATCACGCCGCATACGCCCCACTCTACCCCAGCTCCCACACTGGGCTCGTGACCCAGATGTCTCAGCATTCAGCACAACATCATCGCACAGCAACTGAGCTTACACCATCGGACCGGCAATGCCCGTATGCAAAATCATCCGAACGCTGTGGCTTATTATATTTCTCGTACTCATACGCACGCGCCAGCTTCGGCGTTTACACAATTTCGGACAGCAATGGGCGATCATTAGATCACATTGGCTCACCCTTGGAAAGAAAGTCGAAACACTTTGATGTTGTTCATGCGATGCTGAAGCTATGCCACGTCAGCAGAATAAGTAATGCAAAGATCGTGCAGCTGTAAGTTACTGCCAACAAGCATCCAACACAAATTCGTGCCAGGCAGGAGCGCAATTTCCAAGGCAGTCTGATTGCAGCCTTATGCGCACGCAGCCTTCATAAGAAACATTGAACACTAATTCATGCCAGGCGGGAGCGCAGTCTCATACGTTGGCAGTCTGAATGCAGCATTCTTCTCGCGCGGTCCGCCTGGAGCTTACGTTCAGAGCCCGCAGATCTCAAGGAGTCGCTCTGCCAGAAGCACCCATGGGGAGCTCGGTGGAGCGAACGGGCACCCCACATCGTGCTCCTGTGCCGCTGTGGTTACAACTGTGCAACGAGTTGGAAGTTCCAACACGGTTCTCATAAGAAATACGAAGCCATTTAATGATAGCCGCCTCAAGACGATTCAGGCAGAGCCTCCTCACACTCATAGTGTAAACAAGGCGCTCGAGAAAGCTGCCACAAGCATGGTAGTGGCAATTGCGACCTTCCACTTCCCAAAAGCCAGCTGTGCCCCAACTGCGACGACAAAGTACGTGACCATAAATGTGATGACCACCTTGGCTGCCAGCAGAAAGGCGAAGTCACGCTGCTGACCAAGATGGTCCACAGCACCAGATGTGTAGCAAGCATGCGACCTGGCGACGAAGAGCGAGGCGAATGCATATGCGAGGTTAGCACCCCCTGCCTCGATTTCGAAAAAATCAGACATCTGGTTTCGATCTGCAAGTGGTGATGGCCGTCCAATGTGCAGCGATGGGTTATCACACGGCTTACTGCGGCAGATAATGTGGCGAAGACCATGTGCACCACCAAAAGCTGCGATCGTGTACAGCAGGCTCACGGTGTCACCCGACTGCGAGAAAGAAATGTACAGGTATACAAGGGGAATGCTTCCGATCATCACCATTTTGCTGATTTTCTGGTTAACGCTCATGGCTTGTTGTCCCACGGTAGCGTCAGACAAGAGCACAGTGCCACTCATCGCCGCAAACTCGCCGTGGAGCCCTTTTAGAGCCTGACGCACGCGTTCAAAATATTGCCTTGAGCCACGACAGCTACAGCATCGAGACACTAGGAAACTGGTGCTTCGACTAACTCTGTTCGACCATCGGAGTGAAAGCGGCCTTCCTGCCACCGTCTGGGAGGAAGCCAGCCGCCTGGGCAAACCTGTAAACTGGTGCGCCTGAGACCCTCCACGCTCGCACAAGAACAAGCTACGCGCACCCAGTTTGATCCCACGACGCGCAGCGCCACCCGCACAGCAAGACAAGAATGCAGAGGGCGCAGCGAGGCACAGAAGTATCCCAGGTCACTCGGACCTCTCGCGATTCATCGTCACGCTCTCGCACCGTCCACGGGGGAAGCACTACTCTGGTGCCCAGAACCGAAGCTCAAAACGCAACGGTTATATTTGCGCCCCTGCGGGCGACATGTGTATCCCCGTGGTTGTGCTCGTGCCCGCGATCCTCGCTCGTGCCACGGGCACGCAGGCTGCGAGCACCGCGCGGTACTCAGGGGCGCTCCCGCCTTAGAACCAGACTGACGGCTGAGAGCGACATGTGACAGAAAAGATAAATTCACTGGGTCGCAGATCGTGGCCCCCATGCATGCCAGCTACAATCAGCGCATTGCATGGGGAGGGTGAAGATCGGTTGGTGACTTCTTTGCCTCAACGACAACGATGACGAGCACGCCTGGATTTGCTGTCCTCCCCATCTGATGTCGGCATGGTGGCGCGCCGCGCGGGGGGCCACTTTGGGGCCAGATTGATACCGCGTTGGGGCCCCACTGGAACATCTGGAAGCCATATTAGGGTCCCACCCGCGTGCACGTCGGCGGCAGGTGGAAGGTCATCCTGAGGTCCTCTTGGGGTGCATCTCGGGAAGGCCGCGGCGCCCTGACTGGTCACCTCGGAGCAACCTCTGATGGGCGCCCCATTGCTGCGCTCGGAAGATCTGGTTCCTCCTGTCCTGGGCCAGGCCTTCCGTGGGACCCTCTAGGAGGCAGCTCGATGCCGTTGGGGCCACCTTGCAGCCACCTCAGCGCCGCATCGGGGCCCTCGCGGGCCGTCTTGAAACCATAGTTTGGGCCCACTTGCTGGCGCCTCGGCTGCAGTTGGAAGGTCTTGGTCACGCCGACCTGGGCCAGACCTTACTTGGGGCCCTTCTGGGGTGCATCTCGGGGACGCCCGACGCGGCCTTCTGGACCATGTCAGAGCCATCTTGGGCCCCCCCTGGGGACCTCCCAAGGGCCTCGTGGGGCCCTGAGCCCCGATGCGCAGAAAGTGAGTGCATTTTGGTAGTTTTGCAATAGAAGCTAAATGAGGTTAGCTAGTAACGGTAAGTCTAAGTCGAGTTTAGGACGTTGACAAAAACAATGGAATAACAACGCATCCGCACGCCTCAAAAAATGCGATGCAAAAATTCATCAGTCAAGAAATCTGGGCCCGCGTCCCGGAAGTTTTTTACAACTAACCTGGGATTTCTGGTGTTAACGCTGGAGGGGCGAAAGTGCTCAAGAAACTGGGCCAGCTTTCCGGCAAGTTGGTTGAGAAACGCTGGCCCAGCGTTTCGGGAGGAGGTGTCTTAATCAGATGCTCGCCCAGGTCTCCCGCCCGAGGAGGTCGAGCCAAAACCTCCCCTGGGGCACTCCACGACCTTCAGATCGCCCGACACATCAGCAGAATCAGCGCAGATTTGGGGAGCGTTGGAGGGGAAGACCACGCTGAATCGAACTCGCGGCATTCGATGCAGTCTTTGGGGGGGATCGTCTGGAGAAGACTACAACCAATCCACGTCACCATCAGAGAAGGGGGGCGAGGAGCAGAAGCAGCAGTTGAGGATGTGGGGATCCTTGGGAACGTTCGGGGCTACCCTGGGGGCTACCGGGACCATCTGGGGTTGTCCTTGGGCAGATTGGGAACCTTTGTGAAACCGTCAGGGGTCCTCTTGGGAGTTTCGGGAGCCTTCCTGGGCTGCGTGTGCGCCCGACGGTTCTTCGGAACTGCTTGGGCCGGTTTGACGCCCTCTTTGGCTGTCTGGGGGCTCTCTTGGGCCGTCCCAAGGCCTGTTGGGCACACTTGGCATTCATAAGCACTTCTTCGGGGCCCTTTTTGGGGCCGTTGCTGGGACTTTTTCGGGACCTCCTGGGGCCAAGAAGCCCAGAAGCCCTCCAGAGGCGATGCCAAGACGAGGACCCCAGTCCTGAGCAGAAGAACAAAACTATCGAGCGGGGGCACTGTGGTTTTCAGGGGCAGATTGCAACGTCGAGGCGAGAACGCCTCTCATCAGTGACACATAAAGAAGTATCGAGCGGGAGTGCTGGTTTTGTTGTAGGGTCGGTTTCCTGTGGCAAACAGGAGCGCCAGTCCCAAGTAAAACGTGAGGACGTCTCGAGCGGGAGCGTTGTTATTGCTTGGGGGTCGGCTTCGGCGCAATCCCGAAACGCTCGAGCATGAGCCTCGCTTTCAAAGGAAACGCAGCCCGCGCGAAGGCGAGAGCGCCAGGGCGCCGTTAGAGGGTCCAACCAAAATATAACTGCTCAGCAGCCACGGCTCAACAATCACAAAGCATAACGTCGTGAACGTTTCACGGCGCGAGGGGGCCTTTGGCCTTCGACTGCATAAACACACACGCGCACACACACACACACACACACACACGGCTGGGGAAGTTTGCGCTCGACTTCGGGGAGCCTTTTGGCCTCCGACTGCATGAACACACACACACACACAAACACACACACACACACACACAACCACACAAACACTTTCGAAGCTCCGCGCGGATCTCTTGGATCGACACTGAACCCTTTTCCCTGGCGCGCGGAGCGCGCCAGGAGCGGCGCCAGAGGCGCTGCGCGGGGGGGCCCGGCGTCGATTCAGGAAATCCGCGCCGATCTCCGAAAATTGTTGTTTATGGCGTTCTTCTTCGACCATGGCCTTCGACAAGAAAACGCCTGTTTGTGAGATGTTTTCGTCGTCGTCGCTGTCCCTCATCGTCGGCGACGCCGCCGTCTTGCCGTCGTCGTACCCGTCATCCAGTTGGACTCGCTCTCACACCCAGGCACTCACAGCCATACACTCACAGCGGGACGTACCAGGAAATGAGATGCACAAATGGCGGGTTCCCGAAACCCTGAATCCGAAAGGGTTGTCATCTCTTGGGGGCGTATCTTTTACTCCGTCGCCTTCCACCGCCCGTCCGCCGCCTTTCGCCGGACCGCCCCCGTTTTACTTCTGCCGCCTTGCGCATACCTTCCGCCGCCTTCCGCCGAAGAAGAGATGCCAACTCTTTCGGTCCTCGAAGGCGAGGCCTTCTCTGGAGCGCATCATACGGGGATCTAGCGTCGAGTAATATTTGTGGTGTCTTTTCTTCTTCGACCCTTTGGGGTCCGAATGGAGAGGGTCGGGGGATCGCGCCGCATCGACCATGTATCCGCGCCATCGGCGTGGAGAAACTGTGGCTCCGCATCGGGACGCATCGCCGATGCATCGGCAGTGTGGCGCAGTCCTTCGACCCCATCCACTCGGACACCATCTGGTGAGGCATGCGTAGAACTCCAGCCGTCGACGAACAGCCCGCCGCCGCTGCGGAGACCGCGGCCAGAGAGCGCCGAGGGCGCCACGGGCGCGCCTTCGATCCCTCCAGCGTCACGGGCACCTGCAGCCTGCTGGGCGGGAGGCGCGGCGCGGAATGCCTCCTCCTGGCGCGTACCTGGGGGTGGTCCTTGGTCTTAGGCGGGTAATGCTGCACGGTGGGGCGGCAGCTCTTGCCTGTGGCAGAAGTGCCATGGCCCCCTGAGGAGAAGCTCCACCATGATGGACGGCGGCCGAGAGGTGACGGTAGGGGGTGGTGGGCGCTGCCTCCTCTTCCTCCTCCTCCTCCTCCTCATCATCATCATCCTCTTCCTCCTCCTCCTCTCCTTCCTTCATTCCTCTTCCTTATAGATAACTCCTCCCTGTCGCACCTCGAGGCCGGTCGAAAGGGACGGGCGTTTCACCTGAGACTTCCTCACCGCTCATGACGCTGACGCTTAACGACTGACAACAAATTCACGCATTGAAGGCGGATCGTTTTCAAAATGTGGCTCTCGCCTTAGCGCCGCGCATACTCATTTTGAATATTCGCAAAAGTTTCACTGGTTTTCTTGTTAACGTACCAGAAAGGGTGCTTTGCAATGATTCTGGACCGTCAGGGCGCAACAGCTGCGTGGATTCTGGAGTCCCAGGAATGGCGATCTGGCAAGATTCAGGACCGCCAAGGCGTAACAGTCAATCTAACTCGTGGCTTCTAAATCCTGAGAATGGTACGGCGGGGGCACTGGATAAGGAACCCTTCTACAAGGAATCTAGGGTCTGGAGGCCGGTGGAACTCCAATAGGGGCTTGGCCATGGATACCCCGCCACCCTCATCAGATAAGGAATCCCCCAGGGTCTGCAGCCTCCTGGGCACATTCCTTAATCAACGCCTCCACCGTATTTGGGCACGCTCCAAGATGTCCGTGTCCCCCAGCGGCGCAATCCCCTCAGTGGAAATGACCCCTTGTAGGGGCCTGTGAGGAGGGAGCTTGGAGGGAGGGTGTATTTCGACATCGCTGATGAGCCTTGGGTTTACTCTGGTCCTCCTCCCTCTCCTCCACCTCCACCCCCTCCTCATCCTCCGCCTCCTGCTGAGCGCTTGCCCCCCTGCCCCCGAGGGTCGAGGAGCCCAGACCCCCCCCTCGCATCGTGAAAAAGATACGACGACAGGAAGATCGCCATGATCGGCTCCTGGGGGCCCTCACAGGGCCTCGGGACCGTCAACCAGCACAACCGAAAATATGATCAAGAGAACTATCACTTAGAAAAACCTGTGCCAGGTTCCTGGAAGTTTCTTGAACACATACACCTGGGCCACTTTCTGCCGTTCACGCTGAAGGGGGCGAACGTGCTCAAAAAACTGGGCCAGCTTTCCCGAAAGTTGGTCAAGAAATGCTGGCCCAGTTTTTCGGGAGGAGGCTTCTTAACCAAATGCTCGACTGCAACTCCGCATGACAACCCGATTCTGGGTAAGGGGTCCAGACCCCTGGCTCTGGGGATCCATGTTGCGACAAAATCGCGACGTCGGGGGTCCGGGAGGGGCGGCTCGCCAATTGGGGATGGCTTTGGGATGTTTTGGTGCTCTTCTTTGAGGCTTGGGAGGCCTCTGGGGAACCCAGGGGACTTCAGCGGACCCCTGGGGGTCAGAATCTAGGACGGCAGCAGCAAAACCTGCCTCCTCCTCCTCCTCCTCCTCCTCCTCCTCCTCCTCCTCCTCCTCCTCCTCCACCTCCACCTCCACCTCCACCTCCACCTCCACCTCCACCTCCTCCTGCAAAACCCCGAGGAGGGTTCTGCACGGGAGCCCAGTAACAGTGATGATGATCGGTCACCTTTATACTCCCGCACGGCGAAGCGAGTCTCGGTGGCTTCAGCCGTTAAACACTTGAGCCAAAGGTAACAGGGTCACTATTCCTCCCCAGTCACCTGAACGCTTGCATGTTAACACCCCCCTCGGACGCTAGTCCGTACGGGCTGACGGGGAGGCGCCTTCAAACAAAAACAGGTTAAACGACGCAACATGCTGCACGCAAATCGTCATGACGTTGAATTCGAAAGGTCTCGTGACAGCGTTTACGAGCACCACGTATCTCACACATGTAACATGAGCTCGAGTAAACGCTCTTGCAGTCACAAGTTTAAACGGAGCATCTAAAGTTTACACGGCAGGCTAGCATTTGGATGATTTTGATTGCTTTCGCTTTTTATTCGCCAATACCTGCGGTAACTACAAAAGATGCACATGCACACAGGCTCAGCTCAACAAGCTACCGCCACACGATTGTTAAGCCGAGTTAAGAGGGGAGATGAGGGAGAGCGTAAACTACAGCATGCTGGTCACCTGCCACCTTTTACGAGCGGCGCGGGCGCCTCACCGACGGGGCCCGTGCGCCCCTCGACCTCGGTAACCCGCGATGCCCCACACTGGCCGCTGTGTAGGACGACACCCTGTTAAGGGCCTGCATCGGGCTGTAATAGTCGGTGCCCAGGTACGCGTTAATGCGCTCCTCGTCGTCGAGCCAGCACCCCTCGTCAAAGCTCTTGATGGACCCGTCAACAATGTTGTGGTAGGTGCCGATGGCCCTCCAGTAACTGGCGTGGGGAGCCTTCAACAGAGGCCCACCGCCTGGATTGTTACGGAGGTGCTCCTCGACCGCAGCGCCGGTAAACGGGTTCACAGTCCAGGTCGGATCGGTAAGCCAGTTGGGGAAGTCGTCGCACGGTAACCAGCCAAACCAGCAAAGCTTCTCACGATGATCGCTTTTACGCTCGGTGATATGATCAGCAGGCCAATTGTCACGGTAAAGTGCCCCCATGGATCCCTGATCGTTAAGAGCGACATCTAAGATGGTCTGGTGCCAGTAGACTGGAGGCCTGTTGATGCTGCCCTTTAACTCCTCGGTGCTCCTGACCTCGAGGTCCTCGATGAAGTAGTTACGGTAATGCACCTGGAGCCCGTTCATGTAACGGCAGTAGAGCTTGGCAAGGTCAGGCGTCGCAAACCGAATTACGGTAACTCCCGTCGAGATGTAGCCGTGCGGCCCACGGGTGTCTTCCACCAGGTGCTTAACGGAGATCACGGTGGGGTTGCCGTGGGGCAGCATCCCTGCCCACGTTAAGAGAAGACCGTTAAGCTGCTTCTCGTTCATCTCCGGCACCATGTTGACGTACACCTGCGTGTCCGGGCAACTGTGGAGCTCAAACCACGATGGGTGAAGATCGTTAACGTGGAGTGGTGGCACGTACTCGTCGTCAAACAGGGATTGTACGTGCCCAACTGCGTCAACCCATTCATCATGCTTGGTCAACTCTTTCTCCGTCAACTGAGATCTCCAGCTGCTTGGGCCCTTCAACACGGCATAGCCGATGAAACCGTAAGCGTGTTGGCCGTAGATGTCAACGAATACTTCATCGTAATCGTTAAGCCCCCGCCCCGCGTTGCCCTGAATAGACCGACCGCCAGGGGTCGTCAACCCCACCTTCGCCACATGCCCGACTAAGTTGCCCTCAAACCTGCGCCAGTTGTCGCGCGTCTTCATCGTTAATGCGACCACTTCCCTGGGGTCAGGTTCCGCCTTGTAGTTAACGTCGTAGTCGTCGCTCCTGTCGTTCAGCATGGGCATGTGACCGTTGACGTGGCACAGCGGGCGGTACACGGCCCTGGCGACGTTCCGAGAGCATCCCGCAAGCTGGTCATTCGCGCGGTTAACGACTTGAGGCTGCGGTGGCGGGATATGCTGGACCGGTAACCTCTTGGGCTCCGGAGGCGAGGGCTTCATGCCGCTAACGCTGCTCGATGCTCTTGACTCGCCAAGCCCCGGAGGAGGTGGCTTGGCCAGCCTCACGTTCACAACAGGGGTAGGACCTTTTGGTGCTTCGTCACGTTGACTGCTCTTCGCGCGATCTTCATCCATCTTCATGCCGATCTGCAGTAACTCTTCCAATTCCCGTTTGCGCTCATGCATGGCCTTTGGCGCTTTCTTGTAAACAGGTTGTGGCTCCGTTGACTGCGGGATTTTGTTCGGCGACATGGACCGTCGGATCCCTCCGGCCTTGGTGGTTGCGCCGGTAAGGTCCTGAGCCGGGGGAGCTTTCCCTGATGGAGCCACGTTAACCTGCATCACTGGGGGCGCGCCTGAGGCCATGGACTCGGCTGCCGCGGTGACGGCAACGGGTGGCGCCTTGGCGAGTGCTGCCGTTGGAGGCAGCTCAGGCAACGGCGGAGGCACCTGCGGGATGATGGTAACCGAGGAGCTGATCGGGTCATTCAAGAACCTCTGTAAACCCTCAAGCCTCTCGGTAACTCCCACTAACATGCGTAGTGCCGCATCCCGTTTGCCCTCGAAGTCCTGCAGAGGCGTGATGTTCTCGGTAAGACGCCTGGCGGTGTTCAAGAGGTAACCAATGTTCTCGTTGATGCGCCTGTACTTGGTCGCATTCTCCGCCGTGTTAACCTCCGAGTCGCGATTCTTGATGTTCAGCTCTGTAATCGTCGCAACCAGAGCGTTAACCTCGTCCTGCGCCCTCTTGAGGTTTTCGTTGACGTCGTCACTGGCGTGGAGCAACGCAGCGTTCTGCCGCGTTAAGTCCTCGATCCTCCGCGCCATGTCATCGGCAGCCCTCTGCACCTCGTCAACATGTTTGTCGTAGGCCCCGTGAAAGTTAATGGCCATGTTGGTGAGGGTCACGGTAAACGCATGGGCAACGTTGACGATGTCGTCAACACGGCGATTGAGGTTCTCACGCGTAACCGGTCCATCCCCAGGCGGGCTCTGGTCAACCACGGAGCCGTTGATCGTGACGTTGACCTGGTGAGCCGCCATGCCTTCGTTCACGCTCAAGAGTAAGAGGTAATGGATGGAGGAGGCTTTAATCGAGACGGCTTGCTTGACAGAAATGAGCTTCGAATGTCAACATTCGGTAGCCGGCGCAAGATTATGCCGACCTGTTAATGCACATTGATTCGTGTTTCGTAGGTGTGTGCTCATGCTCTCACGACTGACATACTTGGTTAATGCATCTGCTGTGTTCTCATGTGTCCCTACTTTCACAATTCGAAGTACTCCCTCCTTTACCTTCTGCTGCAACC